TGCCAGGAGCCTTCACTACTGCAGCCCAACCAGGGGCTGCCCTTGGACAGAGCGTTTGTTTTAGGAAGTAGAAGTAACGGAAAGGAAACCACAAGGAAGCTCATGGCACACACCAGGGCCTATCGGCAACACAGCACAGGATGTGCCCCAAAACTGCCACCGGGAGCTGTGTGCACGGCAAGGCTGGGTGTGCTAAGATGTTGCTCTCCATGGATTTGGGCAAGATTATTCTCAAAACTCATAACCTACCTAATAGCACCAAGGCCTCAACCCTGTCACGCAGGCATTGCAAGAGCAGCAGTTAATACCTGGCACTCAAGAAACACTGGGAGTACAGCAACAAATCTGCTGCCAGGCAGATAATGAGATAACCTATTTTCGAGGCTTCCAGTGAATGTAGCACAGATGTGTTCTTCTTATCCAAAATGTTAAAATTGATCGAGGAAGCTAATGTGATCGGGAAGGCCAGAAGTAGCTGGTTCGTGGCTCACTCCAGAAGCTGCCAGCACAAGTTCTGCATCCTCGCAGCAAAACTGAGAGTCCTTTGGAAGAGGAAGGAGGCAGTACGGGGAGCTGGTTCCTGGAGGGCATCTGAAATGTTGTTTTGTAACAACATTTCAAGAACAGGTCAAAATGTGTTAGTAATACAGGATTGTAATCCTGTTTTAAAAACAAATTTTAAATAAGTGACCCATGTTCCAGTCACAAAACATAATTTTTTAAAGAAAGTTCTATTTTGACTTTTGAAGAATTGTTGTTACAGTCATGAAAGACCACGTATATCATTTATTTTCTGTTTCTCCAAGAGTTTTGAATCACTATCTTCTACAAAGCCAATCATGAGCTTTGAAAGAGAAGACTTGTAATTCTTACTGTGTGGTGCAGAAACGCGTCCATTTGACTAACTCTGTGTGAGCAGTTATGTACTGATGGCAAGCTCCATCACTGAGACAGCTTTCTCATATGCTTCTAAAGTGCATTCTGACTGATAACATGGAGAAAAATACTGCTCTTGTCTTGACTTTTTTTTTAAAAAAAATACAAGGCAGGAGAATTAATGATCTTTTGAATCAGTTCTGGATCGTGGCAGCACTCCTATTTTACTGTTTGTTAGTCATTCCCTGTGACTGCAAGTATTTAGTGGAAGGTTATAGTTTTTAGAATTTATTTTTTCAGGCTTCATCACATAAACTATTTCTGTAGCCATGAACATCTGAGTGGCTCACAGTCACACTGAAAAACAGGTCGTGAATCAGACCAAGAAAAACTTGGACTATTTATTTAATCTATTAAAATCATGGTAACCTTCCTAGTGCTGTCCACCATGCTAGGTCCAAGGATGATGTCCAAGCCTTTGATTATTGACTCTAACCCTTTTTGGACTTAATATGGCCAAATACAAGACATTCGGTCACCCTGAAGCAGGTGGCTGATGCCACAGAACAAAAACATGGCTCAGAAGGGCTACCCTAGACCCTTTTAAGGGTCTGGGCAGCAGTGTAATTGAATTATTCAAGGCCAGTGGTAAGTGTACTGCAACACCCCATGACTGGGAGTTCAGACAGAAGGTAGGAAGGACACGGCAGCTCCCAAGGCAGCTGTCCTTTTCAAGCAGTCTTGTTCAGAGAGGCATTTAAAGGGTTGGGAGGAGGAGTCCTAGCAACCAATTCTAGTGCAGACACAAAGATGTCCAATGGATTAAAGCATCACCTGACAACAGTTGTCCCCTGAAGGGAGGAGATGCACTGGGCACATGCAGAAGAGCAGCAGCAGGAAACAGAAAATGCTGTTTTTTAACAGCTTCCAGCACAGGAATTGGGAAGAGACCAGCATATCTGTCCAGCTGTACTGAGGGCATTGTGTGCTGTAAGAAATGAGTGCTAGTGATTTTCAAGGAAGTTGTGGCAAGGAGGGGCAGGCAGGACCTCTGAATCTGCACTTGTCTTCTGGGTGCATCCTGCTGTCTACAGCTCCCTGTGAGCAGGGTTATAAAAGATTTTGACTCCGTACAGTGTTTACATGTAAAATGCTCACTTGGAAAATTCTCTTACTATGTCATGTATAACACTGGAATTAAAAAGTCATTTATTTTTTCAGTGCAGCTAAAGTTCTTTGCTGTCTGTTTACTTAATACACGTAATATACAGCACTTAAGGCAGCAGTAATGGTTCTCACTGAGTTTTGATTTATAAAGATGATAATCCACAGTCTCTCACATCTCCAGTAGTCCTGACAAAAATCAGGTTTGTTTAAGACTCAAGTGAATGACACAGACACTTAAAATACAAAGACTGTAATTATGGATCTATACCTATGGAAATACACAACCTCTGAAGCAAATTAGTAAATACTGAGCTTTACGTATTTGCAGGCACATTTCTGTTGAACTGATACATACTTGACAGCACACTTCTAAGGCTGCCAAAAGTGTGTGCAGTACTGTATTTCCTTCTACTAAACGGCTGCCCAAGGCCTTTGGGACTAGCAGAGGAGTGCAGGGGCTGAACATAGTGTTAGGCCTGGGAATGAAATGATCATCAGAATCTAGGGCAGAATCTACCATAACTTGCAGCATGATGCTAACACCCTGCCAATCACCCAGAAGCCAAGGCACAAGAGCTAATTCTCCCATTGAATTAGGTTGTGTAGAGGAAGCTGGATGCTTAGCTAGCCGTCAAATGCCTTCTCAAAATCTGTTTGCCTGTAAGGAAACTAAATTGCTTTGCACAGTAAATCTCATGCTGTCATCTGGGTTGTGAGCACTTGCTGGGTCCCGCCAGGCTGGTGGGAGGCTCTATGAGCAGTTGTGCCTGTGCCCTCCCACTTACTGAGCAGGGCTGAAGATTGTAAATGCTTCGAAGCAGGGACGGCATCTTATATCTGCAAGGCAGGTAGTGTTCCACAGAAAGGCAGGTAGATTCGACTTATATATTTCCCTAAACTCTGCCTATGAGTCACTGCTTTTAGTTGCCTGAACTTCTAGAGTCAGTAATAAATCAGGAGTGTGAAATAAGCCCTGGTGTTTCCTGATCTTTCCTCTGGGGCCTTTTGAACTGAAGTTAATAAATATACAGGAAATGACACTGAAATTATTAGCATTTACCATTTCATTCTCCCTTCCTTTTTCTTCCTAGGTTACCCAGATTAAAGTTATTGATGGGAAACCGTGAGTAAAGGAAGAAAATCAGTTAATTTCTCTTTAGAAAGATGTGAGTTGTATATTTGAGATCTTAGTCTTTCTATCTTACTTATTTTCTGGTATTGAATATATAGGTCATTCAAGGTTACAGGTGAGATAATACAGACCATGTTATCTAGGATCTTTCTTTTGTCTTTTGAATTTTTTTCCCAACTTGGATGTTTCATTTTACTGGAATCATAGCATCATTTTTGAATATTATTCTTAAGAAAAGATTTGGCTTTGGCATATATCCTGGCCAGAATTATAATTTTGGTCCCAAGGGGCTTTTCTCTTTACGTATTATTAAAAAATGCTTAAAAGTTTCATAAGGACAAGCTAAAAACAGTGAAATTCCTACTTAAAGTATTTTAATTTATTGT